TTAATAGCATCTAGATTCTAGAGGGTCCTAGCTCTAGCTCTAAACATCACACCTCACTGCACAGGGAATTCACAGCTTTTCTGCTGCTAGTGGCTGGTGACAGATTACGCAGTGAATGAGCAAAGAGCTTAGCAAAGTGACGAGTGAGACGCTTAGTGTGTCTGCCTCTGGGGTGGGGGGAAAGTCTGGGCATTTCCGCCAAATGGCAAGTTAGGTTATGTTCTAATGGCAACCATTAGGGAATCTGATCTAAAGCCCCAACCCTACAAACTGTCCCCCCCCCCCCCACACACACACACAGCTTCGTTGACAGGTGTACTGAATCCATCCCTGAACACCTGGCGTGTGTTTCTCAAGTAGGATGGAAAGCTGGGAATGCCCCCTCCATGCCCACCGGTTACCCTAAAGAACAGGCTGTGCACGACCCCCCGACTGACAGGAGCTGGTAGCTTTGGCCTTATCGACTGGCAAGTGTAGACCAGCACTGCAGCGATTACTCTAAAGACCTGGCAAATCAACAGCTAATCACACTCATGTCAATGTCGGTACTACCCTGAATTGAGACGCACAAGGGGAGGTGATGGGAGAGTTTTACTCCTGGCCCCCCCCCCGCAGTCACTCTAAGGCACGTCGACTCCAGCTATGCTTCTCATGGAGCTGAAGTTGCATAATGTAGCTCGACATTGCCCCCACGCTCTCCACAGCGAGGATGCTTCGTCGGATGTCACCGCAGAGGAGAATGAGCAAAGACAGGCTGGCAGACGCAGAAAGCGGGGGCTTGGGGTGGTCTCGCAGCAGGGTGCAGCACTAATGGCTGAAGGACCTTTGCTCTGGACCCAACAGAGCAGGAGTCGGACTCGGCAGGAGGCCTACACCCTCCTGATCTACGGCGCTGAGCAGGCAGCACGGCGAGGCTGGACTCGCTTATTTATAAAATCAAACTGGGAACATTATAAAAATCCTCCAACTGTACCGAGAGCCACTAACATCAGCGTCCAGCTGCTCAGTCGGGGGGTGTGTCCTCAGCTCAGCAGACTGAGAGCAGCTCATCCATGGTCACAGGCTCATGTCCTCCTCCCGCTCGGGCGCATCTGCTAGCCTCATATTTTGCCACATGAAATCGACGAACATGGAGGCTTGCAAGAGGCGTCCCAGTCTCTGGAAATGGCGCTCTGCAAAAAGAGGAAAGGAAAATCAGGGCGAGTTCTCGTCTCTGTCCTGACTCAGGCTGACCGGGGAAGGAGAAGATACTGGAGTGGCTCATCTTCGCAGACCTTGAAAAATGATTTTTCAGTGCTGGCACCGGTTGTACCTCCCTAAACTGCGACTCTGGTCCGGCAACATCCTTGGTTTGGCAGGATCATGGACTATTCCTGGACCAGAGATCCCCAGCCAGCATCAGGGAAGCCACGTCAGCCCCAGCTGGCATCCGGCAGCAGAGCTGGAAGTGCACCAACCCCAGCCGGCACCCGGACAGGTCCCGAGGGTGCCAGGCCAGGAAGCAACTACTCCTTCCACAGAGCATCGTCACAGGAAGAAGGAAGGACCAATGGCCCAGTTCAGCTGGCAACACTGTACTTTTGTCTACACGCTCTGGGTGCGAGATGCTGTTCAGAGACTTTGGACCCAGGGCCTGGCTGAGATCAAACGCCACATGCTGGTACTGGGAGAGGTGCCCCAGGACCAGCTCTGGACGGCTGAGCCACTCAGGCAGACAGCCATGCCAACATTTTAACCCTGCTGAGATGCCGTCTCCTTCGTAACTCACCGGTGTAGGGCAGGAGGGATTCCACCGCCGATTTAATCCCCTCGTACTGTAGGAGACACTCGGGCGCTTCATGCGTCAGGAGGGTTTCGAGGATAGCCTGAGCCTCATGGCAGTTTCGAGAATTCGTGTTCCACGTCACAGAGAACTTCAACACTGACTCTGCGGAGAAAAGCCAGTCGCTCGGGGCGGGTACAGGTCACTCGCCGGCTCGAGAGCGACATCACCCCACCAGAGATGCCAGCTCAGAGGGGATCTGTCAGGCCAGGGCAGGCCAGCTCCATGCATGACCGAGTGACAAACTTTGGGGGGCCACAGTGACTGTAGCTAAAGTCCCTCGCAGGGTCAGTGACGTCAGAGGTTGATTGTGAAGAACTGATCAGTAATGTAGGGAAGCGGCCTTATGGATAGAGGGATGCAAATCCCTGGTTCTGCTCCGGACCCAACCCGGGCAAGTTACTTACACTCCTAAGTGCCTCCATTTCCCCAACTGTAAAATGGGCAGGACGCAGCCACCCCCTCAGGCGTGGGGATGGGAAACGCTCCCAATGTGCAAAGGGTCATTGCGTGGCAGCGGTTTGTGGCCACAGACCAGCTGGCCCTTGAACTGACAGGATAACCCCGAGCCCCCTTCGGGCTTGGTGAGGGTGGGATTCAGTGATGAAGAGTGAACATAAGGCAGATTCTAGGCCTTCTAAAACAGGCTCCTAATCAAAAACTCTTACGTTGTATGAGCAATAGCGCAACCGACCTTTCTGATCCTGCCGCAGTCTGAGGAGGTTCTTTTTCAAGTTCTCTTTCCCATCCGTTTCCTTAAGGATGGCTAACGGGGAAAGGGAAGAGACAGGAAAGAACGGTTCAATTAATTGCTAGAAAACAAAAAAGGTTAAAATCAAAAGCCACATTTTGGAAGTAAAACGTATCCCAGAATTTGGGATATGCAGCAGGTGTGCAATGCTACGTCTTAAGGGGTCGCTGACTTCTTGTCAAGAGAAGGGAGCTTTAGCCTTGGTGTAATTTAAAAGGCTTAAGGGCAAGTCAGTAGCTGAAAGAGACTTAATTCAATAGCCTGGAGGGAAGATGATGCAAGAAACTAATTCTCATATTTAATTAGTCAAGTCTCACCCCTGCTTTTCCAGACAACTCACCTTCCCAGGATGCTAAGATTAACAGCCATTGAAAGAGATGTTTCTCTGCACTACGCTGAGTGAGAATGACTGGTGTTGGGAAGGTTGCTAGAGTTACGCCTATTACAAATGAAGTGTATGCTGTTCTCCTCTCATCACACCCGGCCTATTTACAGGCAGAGCTGGTAACACCATCAGTTATTAAGGTTGCCTGATGCTTCCCATTATAAGACTCCATTTTTGGCGGCTTATAACTTTGCCAAATTTTTATCATTTGGGCTGACATTTTCCATGCTGGATGACTGCCGACCCAAGTTGAACGTTGGGGGAAAGTTTCAGCCACGTCAGTC